ACTGCCACCACTGCTACTAGCACTGCCACTACCACTGCTGCTAGTACCACTGCCATTTTCACACCAGGACGAGGGGCCCGAACGACTCACACCACGACGAGGGGCCCGAACGACTCACACCACGAGGAGCCCGAACGACTCACACACACACGGAGAGGCCCGAACGACCCCCACCAGGCCGAGAGGCCCGAACTACTCACGCCACGAGGAGCCCGAACGACTCACACACAAGGAGGAGCCCGAACGACGCACACCAGGACGACGGGCCCGAACGACTCACACCACGAGGAGCCCGAACGACTCGCACACAAGGAAGGGCCCGAACGACTCACACCAGGACGAGGAGCCCGAACGACTCACACCAGGAGGAGCCCGAATGACTCACACCACGAAACGCCCGAACGACTCACACACAAGGAGGGGCCCGAACAACTCACAGCAGGACGAGGCGCCCGAACTTGTCACACCCCGAGGAGCCCGTGGGACTCACACGCGAGGAGGAGCCCGAACGACTCACACCAGGACGAGCGGCCCGAACGACGCACAGAAAACTCCAGAAACGTGCACACACGAGCGAACGGCCCGAACGACTCCTAAAAAACCCCTCAGAAAACAAGCGGCCCGAACGAGGGAGAGTGGGCCCGCCCTTCAGCCAGAACGTGGGAAGTCGTCGACATCGTCGTCGAGGGAAGGCGAACGCGGCACGGGGGATGATGATGGTCACCTCCTCCCCCGTGAACCGCCAGCCCCCCAGAGAAGGGTGGGCCGCTCGGGCGTTTATGCAATACGCCAAAATTGAAACATTCCTGCAGGCCGACTCTGCAGGAATTGAGGCGCAGCCCCTCCCGCAGCCGCACTGCGGGTGCGCCAGCGAGCGCGGGGGGGCGGCGGTGGCGCCAACGCGCAGTTGGTAGCTGTCCTCCTCCTCCCCCACCATCATAGCGATGATGATAATGATGAGCATCCTACGATGATGAGGCCCTGGGTCCCGCCCCAGAGTCCCGGGCCCCGCCCTAGGCCGCGGGCCAGGCCCCCTCCCCCCCATCGACTCTCAACTGCGTCCGTGTTATATATATATATACATATATATATATATATATATACGTCTACACACAATACATATACCAGATATACATATATGCATCTAGTAATCGGTCAGCGGAGCCCCGGCGCCGCCCAGAGCCGCCCAGCTGCCAGCAGCCAAGACGACCGCCCGGAGCGAGAGGCGGGGTCGTCGTCGTCGTCGTCGTCGTCGTCGGGAAATACTGACTCTAACACAAAACTTGAGACAGGACCACAAATGATCCAACATAACACAAAACAACCAAGACAACATGACATTTCTGATACGTGCGACTGAAGGATCGCCAACGGACTGCAGTGTCAATTGTCAGCCTTTATACACTTAGAAACCCTGTGGTAAGCCTTGAAGAAATCTAAAGCTTGAGCCCGACAGCCTTGTGTAGTAGTATAGCCTGAAGATCGTGGATCCCTGCACCACGGCGGCGGGATAGGCCGCGGGCCCCTGGATATCCCGAGGCAGGATAAGCCGAAAGCCAGTGCATAGACTGTGGCGGGACAGGCCGAAACTCATGTAGATAGCCTGGAGCTCTTGAATACCTGCAAGCCCTCTCATGACACTTTGCCCCTGCAAGGGTTCGGAGGGCCTTAGTCCTGCTGTACTTTTTCTCCGTTTTTTTTTTTTTTTTTTTTTTTTTCATAAGACAAGGCGGGTGCAATGCAGCCAACACGTTGCGCAACGCTCGACGCGTCTACTGCGCACGAGCGCGGCAGACGAAGCATCGGAAGTTCGATTTCCAGGCTTCGCCAGGGCCCGATCGACTTCCAATTGAAAAATGGCGGGCCCCCTTTCGCCCCCTTGGCAGGGGGGGGGACAAGGTTCAAATTCTGTGCAGTTCTTTCAGTGTTTTGTTGTTGTTGTGCGTGTATGATTTGTGAGTGTTTCTGTTTTGAATGTGTGTGTATGTGTGCGAGGGGGAGTGAGCGCCCGAATGTCGCAATGTGGTTGGATCGTGCCAATAAAACCTCGAGAGTGGCGCGTCTCTGGGGCATCCCGCGGTGGCCGCCGCGCCTGCATGTCCCCGAACGTTAGCCGCAACGACGACCTGCTGCCACGAAAGCGGGGCCAATGGAGGAGGGTGGAACATGCATCACAACAAAAAGTGGCGAGCCCGTAGCCGTGATGGGCGATGTGCACCACTTGCGCAACGCAGCCACATCGTGCCCAAAGCACGATGGGCGCGCGCGTTCCGCTCGCCGTCAAAGTCACCACTGACGTCGTGGTCGTCGTCGTCGTCGTTATCTCGACGTCGTCGTCGTCCTGTCGTCGTCGTCGTCGTCGTCGTGGTGGGCTGAGCTACGCTCACTGCCCTCGCGGCGTAAGCCTCGCCATCGCGTTCCAGGCCATGCGGGCCGAAGTGCAGCGCGCCGACCGCACCGTCGAAGCTAAAGGTGGTGCGATAATGCCGACGACCGACATTCCCCACGCTCGCTCCAAGGAGCCCCCGTGGCGAGCAAGGGTACAAGAGCGCACGGGCGCTTCCCCATGCCAGCCGCAGGAATGTTGCTGGCAGGCGGACACGGTTGCTGGTAGGCGGAGCGAAGCTCACAGCCACACTGAAAAACTGTGAGCCAGAATGGCAACAACGACGACGCTGGTCGGGAGAGATCGCTGGACTCGACGACGAACGCCCTCTGTCTTGCCTCCCAACTCCTTCACCCCCTCCTCCGCCTCCGACTCGTCCTCCTTCGGCTCCCCCACAAGGAGGCTGTACAAGGAGGGAGAAGGAAATAGGAGCAGAGGATATATGCGAAGGCAGGCAGACACACGCCTGCACCAAACGACTGTCGGCATGCTTCGCTGGGATTGCTGTTCGGAGATAATACGACTACTACTACTACTACTACTACCACCACTACTACTACTACTACTACTACTACTACTACTACTACTACTACTACTACTACTACTACTACTACTACTACTACTACTACTACTACTACTACTACTACTACTACTACTACTACTACTACTACTACTACTACTACTACTACTACTACTACTACTACTACTACTACTACTACTACTACTACTACTACTACTACTACTACTACTACTACTACTACTACTGCTGCTGCTGCTGCTGCTGCTGCTGCTGCTACTACTAGTACCACTACTACTCCTACGAATGCTACTCGTGCTAGTACTACTACGGACACTACTAATTCTACTAC